TTTGATCTTGTATTGGGGTTTTTACTACTATTAATTTCTATTATTATTTATCCAAAAGGAAAGGAAATTTATCAAACTACCAAACTGAAATTTGAAGACATTCTACTTAAGCTTAAGATGAATGCTGAAGTTTTGCAGCAAGTAAATATTCTAACTCATTAATATCGAATACATTAGATGAAATGAACAAAATCTGAGTGCTAGCCTTCGTTCGAGAAAATGCTTTAAAAAGCAAACTTTTTGCTGGAAAGTATTAAAAAGTATGGTTGCTTGTTTGGCAAAAGTGTTGCATTACACAAATTGAAACGAAAACGGCGGCTGCAGTAGGAAAGTACCAGAAAGACCAGATTTGATGAACTCGCCTATACGGGGTCAAACTATCAACAATACTTGAAAATCAACATCAACTCCTTCTTATATTTATATATATAAGGTTTATCATTTATTTTATATAACAAAAGTCAAATTCATTGCTATAAATTGTTGTGGTTTACCTTTTTTTGCTCTTTTAATTTGCATTTTTCATAGTGAATAATTAATGTGCTTGAAAAATTACAATTCATAAAAAATTTGATACTTTCTTTACTTTTCTTTGATAAGTTTCCAAGTTTTAGCAAAGTTTTTGTATCTAGATATTACTTTGTAGCTTCTGATAGCTATCTCATTTCACTTCATAAGTTTATTAATTGTGATGTTTTATTGATAGCAAAGTTGGAAATATGCTTTTTTTTACTTTAATCAAGCAATTAGTAATAATATTAATAACATCACTATTATTATTATTACTATCATGTATTAGTATTATTATTATTATTATTATTATTATTATTATTATTATTATTATTATCACTGATATTTTTAGCTTTATAATATTATATTTTAAAGTGATTCCCTTAAAAAATTTTTTAAAAAATGTTTGAATGAAAAATTTGCCCACAAGCGTTTTGACTTTGATGAGGTTAAGGTTATAGTAGTTGACATTTAGTATAAATTTTTGTATTTTTGTTTTCCGAACAGAGGTTTTAGAGTTAATAATATATTTTAGGAGTATAGATTTTCCTTTATCTGTAAGTTCTTCAGCTCTTTGTTGTCATTATGTTCATGATTTATGGTCATGTTATTTTTTTTGGTTTTTTTTGTATATTAATTTTAAGGTTTCTTGTTTTGTGGGTAGTCACACATATAATTTTAGCTCAAAGCACAGAGATAGTCTTATGGTAGAGACTTTAACTCAGTTTTTAGTTATAAATTTTTTGGTTACAGTGGTGGGTCCAGGTTTCTGCTTAGTACACTATCAGTGTCGAGTTTATCGGGAACCTGAGTTAATTTTGAAGGTTACTGGGCATCAGTGATATTGGAATTATGAGTATGGTAATAGACAAGAATTGAGTTTTGATTCTTTTATAAAGCCTTTGGAAGATATGCGTGCTGGGCAACCTCGTTTGTTGGAAGTTGATAATCGTGTGTTCATTCTTTTTGTTTTCCTAAGTGTTTTATTAAGATAGATGCTCTTAGCGGTTTATTAACTAAGATTACTTGAAAATTTTCTTTATTAGGGTTGTTTTTTGGCCAATGTTTGGAAATTTGTGGTGCTAATCATAGTTTTATACCTATTGTTTTAGAGATTACTTCTTTAGAGTGTTGGGCAGGGTGATGCTTAAAGTTTTTTCTTATCTTCTTAGTTTAAGTTTTAAAATTATTAATTGTGGTTTAATGGAAGAATAAAGGTTTAATTTTTGAAATTTTATTTTATGGTATTGCATACCAGTAAAGTTGGTTACCACTTTAGTACTGACTTTTTTTTTCTTTTTATTCCTTTTGTAATGCCTCGCATAAGCG